CAGAATAAGTGTCTCTTCAGTAAATAAAAAAAAAAAAATCTTTTATTTTTTAAATAGAAAATCAAAATTGAAAAAATAAAATATCTCAAGTTCATCATGTTATTTCATTCTCCAAACTGAAAAAATGAAAACAAAATTTTTAATTTTTTTTTACTTCTACTTTTTTATTTCCAATTCTCCAACTTTTTTTTTTTACTTAGAGAATACAAATTTTAAAAATAAAAAATGAAAAGAAAAGAACAAAAAAGAAGAAGATATTTTCATTACTAAACTGATTACAGTCTAGCTCCAAACAAAGCTGATGAAAGAACTTTAACCATCGCTTTTCAAACAAATAAAGGTGATATAACATATTTGCTGATATTGCATGTTCTGATTAATTCAAGAAAAAAGTGAGTTATAATTTGTTTTCCCTTTTTTTTTTGATAAAATTGGGATAAGTTTTATTCCATGAAAGTAGACTTTTTATATTTTATTTTTAAAAAAAAAAATGTTTTCAACCACTTAACCATGAGCATAAAGATAAGAAGACTGTAAAAATTTTTGAAAAATCAAAAGATATTATTCAAAAAGACATATGTGGCGTACTAAATGTCTAAATCCCAATCCACACAAATGTTGAGTGTTGCGACAAGGCACTGACTTTTCTTATATTTATTTTCTGTCCCCGTGACCCCATTTTGTTATTCTTGAAAATAATGGCTTAACTCCCATGCCTATATTCCGATCCGATCATCTTGAAGAGTTGAAGTGCATCTTCACCAACTACCATGGCGACAAATCAATAATACTAACGTTTTATACATATATAGCTAATTAAATATCTGTATATCTTATGACTTAATTATATCCAAGATTTCACAGATTTCTTCTCATACTTATCAAAAACACGTCATATTAATTAGTATTTTAAAACTTGTAATATAATTATTTTCATGTTTAGGTATTATTTTTTTGAATATTACTGACTCTATTGCATTGTAGTATCGATTCAAACATACTTTCTCAACCTATGAGGTTTGATCTTATCATGACCTCCCATATGGAAGAGGTCAATACATGATATCTGAGCACAAGGTGCTTAGCTCATGTTTAGGTATTAAAAATAAAAAATAAAACCAAAAGAAAATTTATTAATGAAACAAAAAAAAAAAAAAAAAAAAAAAAAAAAAAAAAAAAAAACTCAATTTGAAACATTTACCATATTTTTATTTTCCCACCTCTCCCAGTTCTCTTCAAACTAGTTTTCGAACCCCCCAAAAAATGAAACAAAAAATTTACTGTGTACTATGGTTCAAAACGATTAAAAGAAACCGCACATGTTCTGTCCAATTAATTCTATTTGTATGACGTATTTAATTTTATTTCAACACAACTAAAATATATCATTTTGTTTTAACTACAGTTTCATTTGACATTATACACTCAACATGTGGGACATGTTATTGAATTTCATTTTATACACAATGTAGTCTTATTACAAGTTTACAATACCACTAAAGTATAATTCTAATTCAACTACGATTTCATTAGACAATATATACTCAAATATAAAAAATTGTATTTAGTTTCATTTGATATATATTGTAGTTTCATTACAATATAATTAAAGCATCATTTTGATATAATTAATATTTTGCCCATATTAATTAGTATTGTAAAACTAACTTTTAATATAATATAACCCAATATATAACTTTTATTTCTTAATTTGTGTCAGGTGTTAGGTTTGCCAACCCTGCCCCAACATGTGTTGAAAAAAGAAATCAAAACCCTTTCCTTTTTCTTTTTTCTTTAAACAATGCTAGTATGCCACTCATTTGAGGGCAAATAAATTATGGGCCTGTACAATAAAAAATTAGCTTATAGACCAATTTTAACTTATTTGATCATTATTAATTGTTTGATTTAGTTAAAATATCAATATAAGTGTTTAATTAATTAACTTTTTGTAATTTCAAAATGTTAAAATTCAAAAAACTATTCTAAACAACTTTTTCAATTAGTTTTTTCATAAAAAAAATTATATCAAACAGCTATCAGTTAACAACTAATTTACAACACTTTTCTACAACAGCTAATGTTATCAACTAGTTATACACTTTAATTAACACAATCAGCTAACAGCTATCAGAGCCATATACCAAACAGGCCTATATCTTGCACCTCTAATGTATATCCATTTTTAATATATTATGTCAAAATAAACTTATAATACGCTTAGATAAATTATTTTCACATTTTTCAAATTAATTTACTTATTGTCTCTTTCATGATTATATTTTGTCATTTTTGTTGGAGCTGAGCTATTAAATTCTTCTTATTTTCACATTTTCCAAAATTAATTTACCTAAAAATATCCAGATTTCAAAATTAATCTTCTGATCTTTACAAGTCTATAATTTTGTGAGTCAAACTTGTGACCCCGCACTTATCAAACAGCTCAGATCAGCTGGCCGGAAACTAGTCCATGCCCCTATAAATATAAGAGAATGACGTGGATGGCTTTGTTGAAAGCAATTTGTGGAATGTATGTATAGTATATTTGTGTATATGTGTAGTGCGTTTAATTTGGAGGTTTAGTGACGATGCCAGGTTCTTCATCACTCTATCATAGACTACTGTTGATTGTGACGGCGGCGGTGCTGTTCTCGCCGGTTCCGACGTCTTGCCGTCTCGGCTCCATAACGGCGAGCTCCGATCCGTCTCCATTCCCGTCCGGCTTCCTTTTCGGCACAGCTTCCTCGTCTTATCAGGTCCGTGTGTATGTCTCGGCTTTGATTCTCATCTCTTCCGCCCTGCGGCGTTATGATGAACTTTAAACAATGTTGATGAACATGAAGATGAAAACGGTTTTTAATTTGTCTGTTTGATGATTTGCAGTATGAAGGAGGTTACTTGGCCGATGGTAAAGGTCTGAGTAACTGGGACGTTTTCACCCATAAATATGGTAAAAATAATCTAAGAAAGCATGCCTTTTAATTTGCAAATGGTATGATGATGATAAGATCGAAGAAAATTAAAGGAAATGAATTTTGATTTGCAGACAAGATAGAGGATGGAAGTAATGGAGATGTTGCAGATGATCAGTACCACCTATTTCAGGTATAATTCAAATTTCAATTTTCAGATATCCAACTATACTCCTTGACTGGTTCCATTCCAATTTTTTTGTTGTTTTAAGATAAGGTTGTCTATTACACCCAACAAGTTGATGAATAAGATAATGTATATTCAATAATTGCTATGGCCTATGGGGCAATAATTATTGTGGGGATCAAGCTAGGTAAATCATACTATCAAATAATGTACATTCAATACATAAATAATGTACTTTTAGTATATTAAAAATATACATTGTATTAAAAAAAACACATTATTTGAGTACTAAAAGTATATTATTTTGTATAATATAAATTCAGTACACAAATAATATATTTTTAGTATATTAAAAATGTCCTTTTGTTATGCTCTACGTAGCACAATAATTTGCCGCTATGGGGTATGGGGGTATTCTTGTGATGATTATTACCTTTAATTTGGGCCTTCTTAATAATGTGATTGAAACATTCCATTGTACAATTGTCATGCTGTAGAATTGTGTCCACCTTGCAAGGTGGACACGGTTCTATATTCATAATTATAAAATTTTATGTTCATAATTTTTGAACTTCATATTCACAATTATTAAATTTTATATTCACAATTAATGAACTCTATGTTCATAATTATAAAACTCTATATTCATAATTTTTGAACTTCATATTCATAATTATTGAACTCTATATTCACAATTACAGAACTCTATATTCATAATTATAGAACTCTATGTTCATAATTTTTGAACTCTATATTTACAATTAGAACAGCTTTGAAACTCTGTTCACCTTGCAAGGTGGAACACGGTTCCACATCATAATTTGCCCTCCACTGTATTATATGTACTTTTTTTTTTTTGAAAGGATTATGTACTTCTATTTAACTCTTTATATCATTACCCGAATAACGAAATGGACTAATATCCTTACCCCAAGGGGAGGTAAGGGCAAAAGTATGATTTTCTTAGATTCAAGTGTTAATTGATTATTAATTCTAAAAGCGGTTCAATTTTTTCTATTGCCTTTATTAAAGTGAAATTCTAAAGTAAAACATTTCACCAAAAAAAATAATAATAATAAAAAATGAAATACAGTCCATGCTCCCTTTTACTTCTTTTATTAGGTAGTAATAATTGTTATGTTCAGTGAAAGAAACTTCTTTGAAAATGTTTCCCAACCTTGACTTCTTGAAAAATCAGTGGTTTAAGGTAGATAAGCACTATATTATTGTCATTGCCTATTAATCAAACCAACATAAATATATAACTAAGTACATCAATCATTATACCACAGACAATCATTGTATATAACAAAGTGCACCACTAACATAAATGTTTATTTTTAATGTACATGTTCATTTTTTAAAAACTTAATTTTAGTGTACTGCAAATTCATTTCTAATATATTATCAAAAAATAACCTATAATACATTAAAATAAATATTTATCCATAGTCCACAGTATTATTTGCCCTACACCATCCATAACACAATTTTCATCAAATTGAAAAGGTTTTCTCTAATATAAATTAAAGAAAAAGTTCTTATTGAAATCTGAAATAATTCTAAATAAAATATTACATTCCCTATTATAAGTTGTATGTTAAGATTACCTCAATTTTGTAATCTGCATGTCACATTTCTACCTTCATATCATAGTAGATAAGAATTATGGCACTAAATCCTCTTTTTTTTTTGGTCTTCAATTCCAGGAAGACATAGATCTTATGGCTTCTCTTGGGATGAACAGCTACAAATTCTCAATTTCATGGGCAAGAATATTACCAAGTGAGAGTATTTCCAACTTTTGGCATAAAATGGGGAAAACATCATATCACTATGCTGAAAAATGATTGGTTTGTGCAGAGGGAAGATATGGAAACATAAACATAGGTGGGATCAACTACTATAACAACCTCATTGATGCCCTGCTGCTAAAAGGTTTGACCAGATCCTTAAAAAAAAAACATAATTATTGACAAATATGCGATACAAACAGCATATGAGCAAAGTGGTTTTCAAGAAATAACTAGTTTGTCCACACAGGCATTCAACCATTTGTCCTGTTGAATCATTTTGACATCCCTCAAGAACTCGAGAACAGATATCAATCATGGCTAAGCCCCAAACTGCAGTGAGTGACACTGAGTATTAGTTTATGAAAATGCTTACTCAGAGAATTTACATTACAGCTTCAACTTCCCTTTCAGGGAAGACTTTGGATATTTTGCAGATATTTGCTTCAAAAACTTTGGAGATAGGGTGAAGTACTGGGTTACCTTCAATGAGCCAAATATGTTTGTTCCTTTGATGTACCTCTCTGGTGATTACCCACCAAATCGTTGTTCCAAACCGTATGGAAACTGTACTCAAGGAGATTCAGAAAGAGAGCCTTTCCTTGCCGGGCACAACATTATTCTAGCTCATGCAGCAGCTGTCAATATCTACAGGACCAAATACCAGGTATGTAAATGATCCATAAATGCCAATTTTGGAATAAGGTGCAAAAAAAAAAAAAAAAACAAATATAAAGCAACAAGAAACTAGGCAAAGTTATTTCAGTGTAGAATAAGGGTGTGCCCTTCTGACTAAAGGGAGCATTGTGAGCCAAAAATAAAACTCATTTTTCCTTCTTAAGAAAGAATTAAATCTGTAAGTGTAACACTTTTTGACATCCAGGAAGAACAAGGAGGCCAAATAGGTTTTGCTGCACATACATTTTGGTTTGAACCAGTAAGCAACTCCACAGAAGACAAGTTAGCAGCAGAAAGAGGTCAAGCCTTCTTTTCAAACTGGTAAATTACATTTGCCAACAATAAGCCCCTATGTGATAATATATACTTCTCAGTTCTCACCTACCAACCCCTGATCTCACCGGTTTCTTTTTCTAAGACTTATTTCCAAGAAACAGATAACTAAGTTCTCATGTACAATGGCAGGTTCTTGGACCCAATCATATATGGGAGATATCCTAAAGAGATGAAAGACATTTTGGGATCGCTTTTACCAGAATTCTCGTCAGAAGACTTGGAAAAGCTGAAAACAGGATTGGATTTTATCGCAGTCAACCACTACACCAGTTACTATGTGCAGGATTGCATGTATTCTGCTTGTGGACCTGTAGATGGTAACACCAGAATAGAAGGTTTCATTGGAAAAAGTACAATCAAGAATGGCATTCCTATTGGGGAATCTGTAAGTACTATGATCCTAATCGCTCTCTGCATTACTTTTTTATGCTTGCTTTTTGTCAACTTTGGGAGCATATTGGCATTGTGTAGACAGGGATGGACATACTCTATGTTTACCCAGAAGGAATGAAGAAAACAGTGACATACTTGAAAGAACGATACAACAATACACCACTTTATATAGCAGAAAATGGTAAGAGAACTGCCTCCTTTATATTTGGTTAGCATTTGGCTTATTCTACACATGGGAATTCTTTTCTATGTGGAACAAAGAATTTAACATATTCGGTAAATAAATTTTTCTTCATGCAACTGATAAAGTACAATTTCCAGGTTATTGTGAGATTATTGATTCACAATCAAAGGATGAAGAATTGCTATATGATATCAAGCGTGTCAACTTCATGGCTGAGTATATAGATGCCCTTTCAACTGCTATGAGGTAAGGGGCCAAGGGGGTAAAAAGAAAAGAAAAAAGAGCATCATACATCACCAACCAGTAGTCTAATGATGATTGTGTTCTTTTCTCAGGGAAGGAGCAGATGTAAGAGGGTATTTTGCTTGGTCCTTGCTTGACAATTTCGAGTGGACATTTGGCTACACAAAAAGGTTTGGGCTGTATCAGGTTGATCGCAGAACATTAAAGAGAACTCCAAAATTGTCAGCAACTTGGTACAAGCAGTTCGTTGCAGAACAAAAGAGAACTATAACTCAAGAACAAAAGATCAGCCCCAAACTTTACCAGTATTAGAGAAGCAGGGATGTTCACATCTTGGGTTAAATTCTTGTAATGTGGGAAGAGCACTTCAATAAATCTTTGAAGCAAGTAAGCAACATATATATCCTAAGTGCTTATACTACCATTTTCTCATTCTTATAAATTGGAATTTACAGGCACGCATAGACACCGTAAGTTACTAAAAAGATACTATACTTAAATAATTTTGTTTAGCAGTTCCTAGATATAGAGTGGAGAAGAGGTTTCTTACTTGTGGTTATGAAGTAAAAACATACGGAGGGCTAAAAAGATAGCACATAAGATATGATGATTCAGAAAAGTGCATTGCACTAAAATTGAGTGTAATCTGATAAGAATCCATAGCTACTATTTTTAATCTATGAAGTTTGATTATGCTTCTTTACAGTTTACAGTTTTACATAGAATTAAAACCTATGCAATTTCTGCACCATATCCACTCAAATTTATCTTGTCCTGCAACTACACAATAAAAATCTCACACTGCCCTGTCCTATATTACCACTATCCCGCCCTCTTCTACCACTAACCCGGGCCCCACAACCTACCCATGACCCACCAATCAAACTCCAGCAGCCAGACTCTAGCCACTGTCATTAAACTCCGTCAATGAAATGAAAAAATAGCCAATTAAAGAGCATCCTACCTCAATTGGAACTCCAGTAGTCTGGTGCATTCAGCTACTAACATCTATAGGTTATGACCTCCACCAGGGAGATCTGGCCTCATAAAGGTGCTCTCCATCATCCTCCCATGAAATTTGGCATGCCTGAAGGCCAGCGGCAATACTGGGCTCCTTACCATGCTGTGCAATCCATTCTTCAATAGCAAGTTCTTTATCATTTTCGCTTGCATATTGTTTTCTGTTCTTTCCAAATGGGTTACACCCTGGACTGATCATCTCAGCAATAGCAGCAGGCATATACATTGAATCACCAACTATAGGTGCAAAACATGCAGCCAATTGAGTTCGGATCTGTAGATTACAATACATGACAAGAGTTGTCAACCAATGTTAAAGAATAATTCCAAATGAAACCAAAGCCTCTTTCTCACTAAGTGCTTGTTTTTCCCGGCCAATAACTTGAAATTTGAAAAGGAGTTTTTTTAAGCCTCAATTTGTATTTCGGAGCTTCTTGAGAAAGAGGCTTTTTTTCTTTATAAGCCATTTAACATTTAACATTGAGAAAATTTCAATTTTGGTCACACGACTATAGGGGCTTTGTTAATTTCAGCACATAACTTTCAAAAGTGTCAATTTAGTACCTTGAGTATGTAGTTTTTATCAATTTTGGTCACTCCGGTCAAATTGCCGGCCAAATTTGACCGGAAAAATTTAATCCAACATTTAGTCTAAAATATGAGGGACAAAATGGTCTTTTCTATCCTTTCTCCTTTAGCTTTCCTCTCAACGTGTTCACCTCCATTTTCACATGAACTAAGGAAATGGAGACACCAGTTATGCTAACAACTCCTTGGCTCAGGTGCCTGCGTTTTGCATTTTAAATTCAATTACTATGTAGTTTTTTTCGTTAATTTTTTGGAAAAAAAATAAAGTTAATTTTATCGTTTATATGAGCAGAAAAATGTGATACTTCGTACAAAGCCCATAAGAGAACAAGCCATAACAGCCGCCTTTGCCCAGAAACCATATCCTTTACTTCTTCGAATGGAGACTTTAGCTACTTCAACGTGTTCACCTTCCTTCGTCTGTTTTCGCTTCTTACGTTTTAGGATTGTGAAATTAAGAATAGGAGAAAGGATATAAAAGACCATTTTGCCCCTTAGATTTTAAACTAAATGTTGGATTAAAATTTTCCGGCCAAATTTGGTCGGCAAATTGGCCGGAGTGATCAAAATTGACAAAAATTACATACTCAAGGTACTAAATTGACACTTTTGAAAGTTAGATGCTGAAATTAACAAAGCCCCTATAGTTGTGTGACCAAAATTGAAATTTTCTCTTTAACATTGCTCTAAAACATGACAGTACACACCTCTTGGAATCAAGATATTGAAAATGCAAGAACAGAAGGAAAAATCAATGTACCTGATGAGTCCGACCAGTCAGAAGGTCAATTTTACACTCATATGCAAATTCCTTAGAGGGCCATCCACAATCCTCAATACTATATTCCCTTTCAATTGAACTCTTGGGCCAGGGTATCTTCTTGCATTCCAAGACCTCAAGTTTGCATATTTGCCATCCTTTGACAAAATCTGCATGGCATAGTAAGGATTTGATTTGATAATATCGGGGGCAAAGACTGGAAGTATTGAAAGTATATCCCAAATGGTTGGGAGGCATTCCAGCTTAAAATTCATCCTTTCACCATCATTGTGCCTAATATACCAATGCTTTTGACTTTGAACAATAAGAACATGTATTTTATATAACTCAGCCCTTTTGCTCTCCGCAGAATTGAGAATAGTTAATTGGATAAGACCATTAACGAAGATATGTAGGATAAATTCTCAATTCCACCCACTGTTAAATCTAGTGATTATGACTAACTAGATACGACCATTGAGGACATCAAGAAGATATGCAGAATGAATTTTTGGTTCGCCCTGTTATTAAATCAAGCAATATGACTATTTCAAGAAATCTAACCATGTCTCTCTGGAAGTCATGCTTGGATGACATTTGTGCATACCTTCAGAAACAATTCTTGGGGCAGTATTAATAGGACGCATGTAATGTGTAATTATCCCAGTTGGGACAGGAGCAGCAGTGAGAGCAAGATAAAGCTTTTTCACCTTTTTTTCCTGAGAACAAAGTTTACATTATTTTCATGACAAAAGAAAAAGAAAGATCAAACTACATTCATTGCTAAAACCAGATCTGAAACTTAACAAGGGACCTATACATGCAAATTGAACTTTAGGATTTCCAACTGCCCCAATGGCTTATCTAAAGGTTTTGTAAATATCACATTAGAACACTCATCTAAATTTTGGAAAATCTATCAACTCACCCTGAGTTTTCCATGGAACACTGAACAGTACTCCTTTGTTCGAGCCAACACAACACTGAATAAATTATGCAAAACAGGCCTTGATCTTCATATCTAAGTAGAATAAAAAGATATAAAGTTAAATGCAAAATTATACCATCCTTCACTACAATTATCAATCTGATGGGTAGTAAGCAATGGAGTTGTTAATCCCAATGCGTAAGTAGCAAATGTAGCACAGCTTTCTTCGATGTTGTCTGTTGTTCCTCCCACCTAACAAAGTTGGCTGAGTAGTGAGTAAAAAGACACCAAGTGTCTTAATAAAAAGAATTCTGATTAATTATGAGGAATGCACTAAGGGGTTAAATTAGTTGATGAATTAATCAAGACTTTTTCATTGGATATGACTTGATCAAGGCTAGATTTTGTTGAAATCTGGAACAACGTAACTACAAGATGTGGCTGAAACTTGGGTAAAAAAAAAACAAATCAATTTACTTTTTTCACAAGGTTGAAACTTAGTTCAAAATTAAGCACACATGGGCATAATGGAGAAAATGGACCTTAAAATATTCATTTTAGATCCATGATTTGAACATTTTGCCTTATTAAAGTAGGTAGTATCTAAAAGTGCTAGTGAAAGAGATTGCAAGGCAAGAGAACAAAGAAGACACAAGAGTTACCATGGAGGAAATCAAAATAACAAATACATGTGTGAAGTTCACTTCTTTGAGTAAAAGTCGTCATTTTCCACCAGTCATGTTCTCCTTTTGACTGGTGTAAGGTCAACCTCCAACCCTGATGATAAGTGTGTGTCGGGGCAGAGGAGGGGGTGGTAGGTTCTATCGAGTAAAGATATAGTGTAAAGGGATTGAGAAAGAAGATAGTGATAATTATGGCAGAGATGGGGGATTTTTTTCTGTTTTAATCAAAGATTGCTTATTTTCTAAATTCTAATATATTCAGTAGCCTCTATACAAATATTAATTCTATTCTTAATGTTGAGATCTGTGTTTGCAGATATTGAACATTATACATACAGATGTACCCGCAGGTTTGTCCAAAACCACATAGGATTCAGCCACGGCAATAACTCTAGACTTCCAATCAATTTCGTAGCACCTGCTCATTTGAAATCCTATAAAATTACTATACTATAGTCTATATAATAGGAGCATGATCAACAGAAAACGTCATGCATAATAATTACCTAGGAAAGCGTTTTGGGTGTACATGCACCCGCAGGTAAGTTCCTGCTTCAACAATGTAGTGAGCAGAACTTATCCGGAATGTTTTCTGTGCTTCCCGTACAGTTTTGCCTTTAACTGAAGCTCTCTTCTTTAGAACTGATGGAGCTGTAACTTCTTCATATAATTTAATTTGCTCAGATGTGGCAGTTGGTGGAGGCTTTGGACATACTAAAGCGTAATATACAGCTCCAAAATGAATGAGATCTGCCACATATCTTTAAGATGAAAATTATTGTTTAAAACCCAAATCTTATTGATCCTATATTATAGTACTGCAACTTATGATGTTATATTAGGGCATGTTGAAAAGAAAAGAATTACATACAGCTGAGGAAGATCCAATGCTTCACTGATGTACTCCAGAACAGGTCCTTCCCTCATAACAACTAAGTGCTCTACTCTAGGAGGGAAATTATGTGAGGGGCATGGAAGTAAACGCTCATATTTAATGGGCCTAAAACAAAATTGATTAAAATAGTCAGAAAAAAAAATGACATCTTTATATCTCTGCTTTGCACATTTTGATGTTTTCTTCTTCTTTACCATTATAATTAAACTGAGAGAAAGTTTGTGCAAATGAACTCAATTTCAACACCGCTCAATAGTTCTAAAAACAGGAATCAGCTTCCACTAATACATAAGGCGGTAATAAGAATGGAAAGTGAGGAATACCCATTAGAGGAAACAGTGCAAGAAGCAGGCTTCAAATCAGAAGAAGCAGATAAGGCGCAGCTGAAGCTTCTGATCCGAGAAGATGCACCCAAGCTTTGTTGGTGAATTTTTACTAAGCGGCGGCATGTCTGGGCAACTGTGGCTGAAGTTCCGAAGCTTTTGCGCCAGCTTGGAGTGCACAGAATTGAAGAGAACATGCAGCCGGCGAAGAATGAAGTGAAACTTGCCGCCATTTTTGAGGTTTTGCGAGGGTTTATTGAAATTTGGAAGTCTTAAAGACTTCGCCTTATCAGAGATATCACTAGGATGAAGATGAAAAGAACAATATCATGAAAACCCCTTATCTTTCAGAAAATCTAACCCTTCCCCCGATTTTCAGAAGATAACTCATTGAGGGGACAGCAGACAATCTTTTTGAAGCGAGTATCTCCCACTTGATGGGCTGGGTTAGGCCCATGATGATTGGTTATTGGCTTATTGGGTATGGAATTTGGGCCAGGAATTTGGGATAGGTTGATTGGTTCAAGGGTCGTTATATCGTGGACCGCGGTGCACGTGTACCGCGGTAAAAAACGGTATTTTTTTCTTTAAGTAAAGAAACGGTGCGTCGTTACAATTAGTTAATGGAGTGTGTATTTTTTGTGTATTAATTACTAACTGAAATACTAACTGAAACTACAGTGTATCTAAACTAATACTGTCTCACGTATTATTTGTATATTATCAAGTAAAACTGCAATTGAAATGAAATGAAACTGTAGTTGTGTTGAAACGAAATTGCAGTGTATACAAAATGAAACTGAATAGCAATTTCACATATTTGAGTGCGTAGTTATATCAAAATAATACTGTAGTTGTGTTGAAATGAAACTGCAGTGTATATAAAATGAAACTGAATAACATTTCATATATTTGAGTGTATATTGTGCAATGAAGCTATAGTTATATTGAAATGATCATGTAGTTGTGTTTTAATGAAACTATAGTGTATTTAAATAACATTTTCACATATTCGAGTGTATAAATATCGAATGAAACTGTAGTTATATCGAAATGAAATTATAGTTGTGTTGAACTGACACTGCAGTGTATACAAAATGAAACTGAATAATAAAATTACTTTTTGAGGAACGGCGCGGAACGACGCAAAAAGGTGTCGTTTATTTCATTAAACAAAACGACGTCGTTTTGAAACTCGGTGCATAATCGAGTATGCACCGCGGTGCACGATATAATTTGCCCAATTCAATTGATGGAACAATCGAATTTGGGCCAGAATTTTTGGATAGGTTTATTATTATTATTATTATTCTCAAACTTCACCCCTATAATTAGTTGAGCTGCTCATGCGGGCATTATTATTATTAAGCAAGACCACTTGACCCTAAAAAGTGTGTAGTCAAAATCTGACAATCACTATAATATAAAGTCTAAAAACTCAAGAATATAATATCAAAGCTCCATATCTCGAGCAAATAAAGTCATTCAATTGACACCTTTCAAAAAAATAAAATAAAATAAAAAAATCATTCAATTGACATAAAAACTAACTTCTTGTTATATGTGAACCAGTCAACATGATCAACACAACAATGAATACAAAAGGATGAGGTCGAGCCTTGCCTTTTTTAAAAGAATACTCACATCTATCTATGAATTATTCTCCACCACAAACAATCAAATAACCCTTATTTTAATTTATGAAGAGCCCATAATAAATCATCTAGTGCCAACTACCATGTAATGTGATGACATCCCGGTTATCATTATAAATGAATGGTCATAAGTTTGAATCACGGTGGTAGAATCTTCAATTTTTTGGGCCAAATACTACCCAATCTACCTAGAGTAATTGTGTGCATTCATGTAGTAGTTCGCACGTTCTCACTTGAACGCTAGTGTGTGTAAGTAATTAACTAATTATTACCCTAACTTTAAATTTTGTTGAAAAATCAATTTTGTGCTATTAGCCACTAGGTATAACCACACACACAACAAGTAAAAGTTGCCTACACCCTTTATCACATGTCGTGTATTCTATAGTTCTATATTTCTATTTGCATTATTTTCTATGAAACAAATATCAGTACTAAATATCGGGATTTATATCAAACGAAACTTGATAATAATATTGTTTTAGCTTAAAAAAAAAAGTTGTTTTACCCTAACTAGTCGCCTCCTCCCGGAGAAGGCGACCAGATTTGGTCGCCTTTTCAGGTCGCTTCTCTGGCGAAGGCGACCAACCCTCGCCGAAGAAGGTGACCTTTTACCGGGAACCAACCTGTTGGTTACCGATAAATTTGACATATTTGACCCAAAATAACATATTTGAGGGTTTAAAAGCACTTTTTAAAAATTTAGGTGTCTAATTGACTTTTGGTGTAAAGTTCAGTGACCTATTTGACCATTTTTCAATAACAATTTAAAGTTTAACTATACCAATTATTTATATTTTAATTTAACGTTTAAATATTGATATAACCATTTAAAAAATTGAATGAAAAAAGTTATTTAAAAAAATTGTTGAATTTAGACTATTTTAAAAAATTGAAAATTTCAATGACCTTGTAGTCTATTAGCATGAAGTGGCTCTACCAAATAGGAGTATTGAATCTTTGTGCTTCAGTAGGTTGAAAAAGTAACTATGGACAGATGCCACATTGTAATAGAGTTAGTAGTATTAAAAAAAAAAAGATCGAAAACAAAATTTACCAAAAGAAAAACATGATTCGGACTAATAGTGTTAACCAGAACCGAAACCCTCCTAGAAGTTTTTAGTTTAGATCGGTTCGTCATTTTTTTGAATCGAAAATCACCGATTCAAAATCTAAATCGAATCGTGGTCAACCCTATCATAAATTTTCTCTCTTAAAAGTCCATAAATTATTTTCCATCCATTTCTATATCATTATCAATCAACTGTTTTTTTTTAAATGAGTTGACTGGGTCAAGCCGATGGATATGACTTTGCCTTTTTTGTTGGCTTTTCCAATTGAGTATGATTGGTTTAAGCGCGTTTTAGTCGTCCTCGAATAGTTATGCTGTGCATATGTAAGCACCATGCATGGTGCATACAAATGCAAAAACGACGTCGTTTTATTAAAAACGCGCGTCTCCCCTTTAAAAAAAAAAATTTAGGTTCGATTCCTAGTAACAACATTATTTTGTTCATTCATTATGGAATTTTAGTTCATGGATTATGGAATTATAGTTCATCGATTATGGAACTATAGTTCATCGATTCTGGAATTATAGTTCATCGATTCTAAAATTTTAGTTCATAGATTCTGGAATTTTAGTTCATTCATTCTGAAAATTTTAGTTCATAGATTAGATTATGGAATTATAGTTCATCAATTATGGAATTATAGTTCATCGATTATGGAATTATAGTTCATCGATTATGGAATTATAGTTTCGAACCTATTTTTTTTTTTTTAAAGGGAGACGCGCGTTTTATAAAAACGACGTCGTTTTTGCATCCGTATGCACCATGCTTGGTGCATACGGATGCACAACATAATTTGCTGTCGTCCTCCACTATGGTCTACCATGTGGCCTTGGAAAGAATTTTGGGCCAAATTATGCTGTGGACCCGGGTCAAGGTGGACCCCTTGACCCATATTTAAAATACCGCAAATTATGCTGTATACTCGTGTCCACAATGCATTATGGACACAAATTCAAAACGACGTCGTTTTAAGGAAAAACACGACATTCCAGTTTAAAAAAAAGTTAATTTTGTCTCGCCGTTAACGGTTATTCGTTTGTGGAGTTATGAATGTACAATTATACAATTATAAATGTGAGTTATGGAATTATGAACACAGAGCTCTGACATTATGAACTTACAATTATGAACATATAGTGATAAAATTATGAACATAGAGCTCAAAAATTGTGAACGTAGAGCTTCGAAAATTATGAATGTACAGTTATGGAATTATGAATGTACAGTTAGGGAATTATGAATGTACAGTTATAGAATTATGAATGTACAGTTATGGAATTATGAATGTACAGTTATGGAATTATGAACACAGAGCTCTGACATTATGAACTTACAATATGAACATATAGTGATAAAATTATGAACATATAGCTCTAAAAATGTGAACATAGAGCTTCGAAAATTATGAATTTACAGTTATTGAATTATGAATGTACATTTACGGAATTATTAATGAACAGTTATTGAAGTATGAATGTACAGTTATGGAATTATGAACACAGAGCTCTAACATTATGAACTTAAAATTATGAACATATAGTGATAAAATTATGGACATATACTCCTATAACGAAGCGGTCTGAATTTTTTTTTTTTTTAAAAGTGGAAGATAACGGTGCCACTAATAGCACCGTTACCATGTCCACAATACATGCTGGACACGAGTCCATAGCATAACGATTGTAAAAATACGCGTATGGTATAATGGTGTTGTTAGTGGCATCGTTTCTTTAACCTTTTTTTTTTTTTTTTTGTGAATATAAAGTTCAAAAATTGTGAATATAGATTCAAAAATTCTGTTATACTGTTGAATATAGAGTTCTGTAATTGTGAATATAGAGTTTAAAAATTGTGAATATACAGTTCTGTAATTTTGTATATTGAGATCTAAAATTATGAACATAGAATTAAAAAATTATAAATATAGATGAACGAATTTTAAAAACAAACGAAAAGTTAACAAATAAGGGAAGTAATTTTAAAAAACAAATTCCGACGACGCCGCCATTTTTGACCTGAGTCCACCTTGCAAGGTGGACCGGGTCCATGGCATAAGAATTGGAATTTTCGAAGGTGACAATCCTTTGTCGATTCAAGTAATACGCACACGGCTCCAATTATGAAAAGTTTTATAAAATAATTTTTTTTTCAACTACATTATTATTATTATAATTATTATTACTAGTATTTTCACCCGTGCGATGCACGGAATGAAATTGTTGTAATACATTAAGAATATTTAAATCGATATATAATTATTTAAGAGTTAATTTCACCAGAGGTCGCTTATCTTTCCTGAAAATTCCAAATTTAATCCTAGACTATAGTTATTAATTATTACGATTTATTCAATGTTATAATTCTTACGTTAACATTCTTACTATTATTATTAACACTTAATTACTTTTAGATATTATTATTACCACATATATTGTTACTATTATTATTATTATTATTATTATTATTATTATTATTATTATTATTATTATTATTATTATTATTATTATTATTATTTGTTTCTTTTCAAGTTCTGTTAGTATATAATGGCCATGAGGCACAATAATAATATAACCATAATTAAATATTCTTGTATTGTATTCCGTGAGTCACAATAATAATATAACAATAATTAAATATTTTT